CAAGAGCTTCAGACAGCTCCTCAAAGGCAGTTACATCAACCTTTCCAGATTTGGTAGTATCAAATTTGTCAAAGACTTTTGCAGCAGTCTTTTCTATGTCTGAAAACGAATCGTCCCTAATTGCCTTTTCGCATTCCTCTGATTCCACTGAGATTGATTTTCGATCAGATTCATTATCTGGCATCTTCGTGGTCGGCGTCTCCGATAGCGGCTCAGCACTCACAATATCTTCTTTACTGCTCGATGGTTGTGTGGTTGGAAAAGTTTTGAATGGATTCGCGACAGACGTAAAAACTGAAGTATTTCCGGAAGTTCTGGTATCGCTAGAAGAACCAAATCCAAAACTGTTCTTGGAAGAAACAGAAGAGAGTGCTGCAAATCCTCCTCCAGAGGAGACTTGCGTGTTTGACCCAAACGTTGTTCCAGAAGTTATTCTGAAGGTAGTGTTGGGTTTAATGGTCCCAGAAGTTGGATTGGTGCTATCTTTTGGAGTCATCGGCAGTCCGCCAAGCGGGGAAGTGGCACCAAAAGCTGGAGTAGTTAAGGACGTAGCTACATTTGTCGATTGGGCCGTTCCACCAAACGAAGCCGAATTGGCAAATATAGAAGATTTGGAAGTTTCTCCTGGCTTCTTACCAAACCCAGAAAACGGAGAAGTGCTGTCCGTCGACGGACTTCCAAAGGTGAGACCACTGGACGTTCCCGATCCAAATGTTACGGAAGATGAACCGGAACCAAACGTTGGTGCATTAGACCCTGAACCGAATGTAGATGATCCTGCGAGTCCAAAGGAAAATGGCTCTTTGGTTGTTGTCGCGACGGAATCGGACGGCGCAGGTGCATTTACCGTCGATCCAGTAGAACCCACACCGCCAGAAGAAAAACCTGAGTTTGCGGTGGGTGCTGGTGCCTTTTCCGCCGTGGACATAGAAATCGCATTGGTATCGTCTACGACTACCCACGAATTTTTTTCAGTTCCTTCAGGTAAGTTAGTCGATTTTCCTGTCCCAGTTGGCTCTACAATTTTGAGGGGTTCCCTGGGCAAGTCCGAAATGGATCCCAAAGCCGTCTCGGTAAAGAATGAAGGGTCATTGATGTGTTGAAATTCAAATGTAGATATAGAGTTATCCGTTGAAGCCACCAGTAATCGAAAGCTCGAGAGCGATGCTAATTGGACAATGCAAATGCCAAGTGGGAAGACGAATTCGTCGTCTTCGTTGGTGGGAGTCGAAGCTCCGGCTCCTTCTTGGAATTCCACGGGATTCCAGTTTGAATCATTGTCTTCCAACGAAAGGGTTCCAATATCCGATCCCACATTTGTTGCAACAGCAATCAATCTGGTTTTCGTCAAAGATCGCAAAACAGATGTAAAAAATACATGTCGACCGAATTTGGGTACAGAAAAAAATGGAACGACGTCTCCTTGTTCCGACCATTCGGCACAACGATTGAGGGCTTCATCTACGCTTGTCACGTAAAGACATGCTTCATGATCTGCATTGTCATCTTCATCATCTTCGTCGGGTTCTTCGTTGTCTTCGGGAGGAATCACTTTACAAAAACCTGCAATTATTGTTTCCATGTTCCAATTGAGATGGGTGCAAACAAAACCATCTTCTTCAGACGGACGACCACATTCTGAAACAGCTTGAAGGAGGTCGATGGCACTCGAAGAAGGAGAGGGGGGACTGTATCGGAGAATGGCAACAGACCCATCGTATTGCCCGATCGCAATAGGCATCGCACCGTTGTCGTCAACGCTAACGTTAGCTTGCCAAGAAGCACTCGAAACGTTTTGCACCAGTTCTTGTTCCTTGTGCTGCTGAATCAAATTCGTTGGTTCTTCGACGCGAGCATCGTAAATAGCCACGCCCTTTGTGGCATCTGCCAGCAAAAGTGCGTAGTTGTGTGGAGAAAAGTCAAGGSCAAGTATTGGACCCGAAGCAGTGGCGGCGCGGGATCGATCTCCAGACACTGGGCTGTCTATTGTTGGGGAAACATGGGAATGAGCTTGCGGAATAGACCATCGTAGAGAGATTCCATCGGAGGTGGAATCGAAACACTGCAATGAACCATCAATGCATGCAACCGCTACCATGCGTCCGTCCGGAGAAGCTTTCAAGTGGACGGCGCCCCCTGCAGAAAACGAAAGAGGACAAGAACAAACAATGTTGGCTGCGCCGATGCTGCTGTCGCCATCATCGTTGCCCTCTGATATTACAATTCGCTCTATATTGCATCCGTTTATTCTATAGACTAGGCCATTCGAGACACCACTCGGCGAATCGATCAATTTCAAACCCACCGTCGTGGGTCGTATTGGAGACTCCAGACCAGGCTGAATAGAACAAGGTTCATCATCTTCTGCTGCACCAGACGCCAGGCCTCCCTTCGGTTTGAGGACGAGGAAGTCGTCGAGATCGCTCATTGTCGAATAGATAAGGCAGTTTCAACTAATGTTTTTCGGCAATTACAACAGAATGCATCAACGAGATCAAACAAGATCTGAGATTGCATCGGTCTCGGATTTTGTGGGAGCATGCAGCTACGGTAACAGGCAGAAAATATTAGTACAAGAACTGGCTATTTTTGTTATTAGCAAGTAGATGTACCGTGGGAGTTGTATTTATTGGTTCCGCAGTTCCATCACGTTGAGAATAGTACGGTAATCGTATGTACTAGTAATGTTATGTACAGAACCTTTTTTTTCAAAATACATTTCAAAACACAATTTCAAAATACAAGAGCGCTTGTTTACTGTACGGTAGGTACTACTGGTACCTGGTACTGGTTCAAAAAGTACCGTACTTCGTCCGAAGTAAATTGATGCTATTTCTGTATGACAGTCCTCGTATTTCGTACGGTAGTGCTTACCGTACCATATTATTGATGGAGGACCAATCAATACTCAGTCACGAAGTATTGAGGAGTGGATTAATAAGGTTCTTCGTTCATCTGGTCCTTGTATGAGTAATGGGTACAAGTACTGTACCGTACTACGTACCATTGTTCATAATTTAGATCCATGATGCGATGGGTACGAGTGCCTGGTACCGGTAATACGTACGTATTAATATGATAAGGGACGACTTCACGAAGTGCTTCTTGTAGTTTTCACAAAAGCAAACTACTGGTTTGTTATCACGAAGCAATATTGAACTGAGGACGCTGTGTTTTGAATCCAACACTGCATCGAGAGACTAAAATCAAGGTCTTCGACTYATCCAGGGGAGTAAAACATTATCTAGCGCAGTGCGAGCTGGAATTACCAAATATTGTGCTTTAAAGAAGATGTGACTTATCATTTCAATAGCTTGTTTCCACGGGCATGGCCACGATGCTTGTTTTTTTTAATGACGTATGCGATGAAGTTCTTTACCTAGTTCAAACAGCACGGGAAGAGATACGTCCATCACGATATTCTAGATCATTGTATACGATCAAAAGTTCGGATTGGTCAATATCCACGTTGACTTTTCTCCAAAACAGTCAGTCGGATGCATGATAATGAACGCATCACGAGATCTCTCCATTTCTACTCGTTTTCTGGTGTCCTCTTTTTCTGAAACAARGAAATTCACTGCCGGCCATTGCTGCCTGTTATATATTCACATTATCGTCGCTAGGACCGGAGTTCCAGCTTTTGCTTTTCTGCGCTATAAAATCGTCGAGGTTGAAAGAATCAGGGTTGACGTTAAAAACTCTCACATTCAAGTATTCCTCGTCATCTTTATAGTTGTCGAGCATAGATTTTACCACTTTCAAGCCTTCTCCTTCGTCTATGCCGTTGTTCAAAATGTCAGCTCTCACTAAAGTCATATCTTTATCTTTTGCATAATCGTCGAAAATAGAGAAGGATATGAGTGGCTGGGCCGCGACGGGATCCATTTTGTAGTCCTCCAGGTATGCCATTATAAAGTGAGAAGGTTCAAAAAATTGTGATACCAACATGAAGTGACCGTCGTCACGGAAGATTGGCTGGATATAGAATGGACTTGATTTAGCCCTTGTTAACAGGGATTTAGTTTCTTTTCCTCCCAAGACAAGACCGTGTACATTTTCCTATTTTGTTTTCGAGAAAAGCAACGTGATTTTTGTTTTCGTTAAGAGAGCAGCAACAATTTGTTTACACCGTACGAAGCGAATCATCCCTCGATTGAAGTCCTGAATATCGCATTCACATACCTTACCCTCGTGGTAAGTATACCACATTTCTGATATCTCATTTCGGGTTTTGTCTGCAACTAGTTCTTTCTTGAGTATATCGTGGAGTTTCTTTGGTCCAGCAAAACTAAAACTGAAACATCTTTCACACGAGYTGACAATCGGGAAGAGTTGTCGTTTGACGTTRGGAGAACCGATGAGTCTTGTTGTTGCGGCCAGCATGGCGTAAAGGTGCTGTAAAAGTCGTCTATTGGGAATAACCCTGCTGAATAGAGAACTGCAGTAATTATTTTCTTATGAAGTATGCACTCCGACGGCGAGTGAAGGATCGACAGAAATAAAGTTCACCCCCTTTAATTGCTACATCCGCTTTTTTTGTCGGGGTTTTTGGATCATGATCACTCCCGTTTAGATAGAGAAAGCTCTTAAATTTAAAAGGTGTACGTTACGCTACCGGACGTACCGTACATACAGTGCGTTCCCTTTGGTTACAGTGATCGAAGATCGTACCGTAGAAAATGATTTCAAGGTCTAAGCGTCSCTTGCTTCCTAGGACTATTACTACGCGTTTCATAACAATTGAATACGGCCGCGCGAGCGCAAGTGCTCTTCAATCATAGTTAAGAACTTTGAATCGAAGTTGTCAACTTAGAATCGAAGTTGTCAACTTGCGGCCCAAGTTGCCAACTATTGTACGTAGGCCTACGTGGGATCAGTACTAGACCCGTTAGTGGCACGCCGGCAGGTCAGCAGCTGCTGATCCAGCTGCTCAGCGAGGAGCAAAATGATCTATTTGGATGGATCCTAGTACAAAGCTGTGTAGGAAATCCTGTAGAAAATCGTGAATCAAGGGAGTATACTGCAGATTTTGGTCAAAATGAAAGGGTTTTATCGCGCGTTCAAAATTGTAYTGTGTCCTATTGTATTCACCTAAAACTTCCCTCCAGCATGCTAGAACTGTTCTTTTCATTCATTCTAAAAAAACTAACCGGTTCAAAGCAACCGACCATGGGAATCGGTCGATTTTGGACACTTTCACTCACTCTTTCCTACTGTACTTGGTATCACTGGATAGCTCTCTTCRATTGTCGATTGAATGAGCCCTTAACTGTAGCAAACAAGCAAGTGTAACATATTTTATAGTGTGTTCAGTGTAGCTTCTTTTTTTTACGACGGCTGCTTCTTCCGACGTCGGCAACAGCAATCAGCATGCCTATCGATCCAGCAGATAAGGTAGCAAAGATCAGAGCCGGTGCTGGTCTTTCTAGATTAACACAACAAAGAAGAGCTGAGAGACCCCATCCTTCTAGGGGAGGGAGTGAAGGCTATCCTGTCTTCTTTAGGGAGCAGGAACTGGAGAGGAAGGCTGCTGGTCTTCCTACTTCTGCTAGTCAGCCTTCACTTTCAAGATGGAGTAGACGCCTTAATCCATACAGGAAGACAGGCAACAGAGACCAAAGCAAGCTGGTTGGACCAGATCTCTACCTTCTTACCATTGGTTTGACTATCAATCCTTCTGCCAGCTTTGATGAGTTGGCAACATTCATATATAATGAGGGGGGAGGGATCTATTCCAGTGTTGATATCTCCAGGCGACTGCATGGAATGGAGGTGACAAGGAAGAGGAAATCCAMGGAAGCCTRCCAGGCCTTCACCCTGAGGAACTTGATAAGGTGTGAGTTCTTTTGGACGCGTCCCTTTCCCCTTGGAGTGGTGGGAATACCAAGGAGGAAGTTCATTGATGTGGATGAGTTTGCTTTCAATATGCAAAGGACCAACTGCAGGTATGGATGGGCAATCAAAAGCAGGAGGTCTAGTACCCCTGGACACTACGAGAGGACTGAGAAGCTGACTGTATTGCTGGCTATTGAGCCAGGGGATCCACRGCTTCCTCCTGAGACCAGGGGAAGTATCCAGAACCCAAGGAGATGGATTGAGGTCCTTAGGACAGCAGGGACAACAGCATGGAGCTTTGCTCAGTTTATCGATGAGATCTGCACTGATATTGAGCAGAATCCAGCACCTGGCGATACTGATTCCCACCGGGTCTTCCTTTGGGACAATCTTAGTGCTCATCTCACTGGTGTTGTGGCTCAAACGCTTCATGACAGACCAGCTGGGGGGGGGACCCGCTTTGTATCCATTCCTAGGCCTCCTTACCAACCCAAGTATGGTCCCATTGAGTACAAGATCTGTGATCTCATTGGGGCTGTAAGCAAGATTACAGAGCGTCACTGGACCACTGCAGATATGGAGCAAGCGCTTAGGACTGAGGCRTTTAGATCATTGGGTCCATTTGATTCAACCTTTGATCATTGTGGATATACTGTGGATGGGGTATACCAGCCCAGGAGATATTATTGAAGAAGCAACAACAGCAACGCGTTGGTCTCCAGCAAGTGAGCTGGATCCGCGGGGTAGCTGCAATGGACTGGAGGAACCCCCTGGAGCATGGCTTGCCAGCGTGGTGACTCGTCCTGGGCCTATGGAAATTGAATCCTACTGGAGAGGCTTGGATTCTAGCAGTCCCTTGCTGGAGCAGCTTCCTTGGATGCTCAATCGATTCGGATGAACGCAAATCGACTAGATCGATTGAAGAACAGTTACAGTCGGTTGAATCGATTGACCAGCATACATAAGCTTAAGAGGAATGGATCCAACGCAAGGTCCTTCATCTATATAGCAGTACTATTTGTATACAGCCAGTTCTTTAGTAGGAATCATAGCTACCAAGAGTAGATGCAATAGACTTGAGCAATACCCCAAGAGCTAGCTTGCTGACCACGCGGCTTGTCCTGGGCCTACAGTTTAGCGCRTCTGCAATCTAGTTGCTTTACATACTAATATGGGGGTCTCTATACTATTACAATAGTAGTACTACCTCAACAAGGTACCTGGCGTTCTGTCAACAGMAATYGCAGGGATTACAACAGCACGCACAAGCTGCTCTGTTTGTACAAAAGAGACAGCAAGAGGGCATCCTAATGGTGGAGAAACAGGAGGAAAAGAACCACCACTAGAGGAATYGATGCGCTCAGCATTTGAATCGATGCTTACAGTATTCAGTATTCAGCATCCATAGGAAAGACAAGTCGAGCCAGCGGCAATTGATCAATCACTGTCTCCATAGTCGAATCCAGCTGAGCTCTGGCTGCTGGGCAAGCCACCAGGACTGGCCTTCTTGCTTGGAACAGCTGCCGCCTTCTTTGCAGCAGCAGCAGCAACAACAACAGGCTTGCTCAACGCAGAACGCTTGACAACACGCTTGGCAACACGCTTGAGACCCAAGCCACCACGGCCTGCTGCTGTTGGGCGTTTCAAGCCAGCAGCTGTGCTTGCTGCTGCTGAGAGCAAATTCAAGCCACCAGTGTTTGAAGGAGCAGGACAAGCTTGCTTCCCCTGCTTTGCAAACAGCTGGCGCTTGGCAAACTTCACCAAGGAACCAGTCGCCTGCTCCACATTAGGGCAAAGGTTCTCCATGTCCTGTGCTCTCTTCTTCAATGCCATTCCTTCAGTGCTAGTGTCCTCAGCAGTCAGCTGCGTGTACAGTAGATCCAGCGCTTTCATTGTAGAAGGGGTGTTGTTACCAAGAGACTGCTTGAGAGATTCCTGCCTGATCTTCCTTGCAAAGGATGGAGTAGCTGGAACAGAGGCCTTGCGACGCTTGGGCAAGGGAGGAAGCTTGAATTCAGACTTCACCACCACTGGCTTCACGTCCACCAGCTTTCCTGCGCTGCACAAGCTGAATCCAGAGCTCTCACTGTCACTCTCAAGAATACTGATAGGATTCAAGCTGGAGGACCCTCTCGTGCTGTAGGATCTCTTGGTAGATACTGTAGAAACAGGAGCTGGAGGAGGCATCGCTGCTGCTACTGCAACTGCAGGCCGAGGACGCACAGCAGCTCCACTACCACTACTACTACCACTAGCAGCGTTGGCAAGCTTAGTCGCAAGAGGGGGACCAGCACTGGTATTCAAAGGCTGTGGCGTGGTAGACGCACCCAATCTATTCCTATGAAATCGAGCGTCCTGGTGGTTGAATGTAGGGGGTCCTCTCGCGGTAGGAGCCTGCGGCTGGAGCTGGGGAGCAACAGGGGCCTGTTGCTGAGGCTGCCTCCGAGGYTGTTGCTGTTGCAATTSMCTTCGATTYGGAATACCAAATCCCCTTGGTGCTGCTGGATTCGGATTCGGATTTGCTCCAGTCCTCCCCTTCCTAAGAGCGTGAATCGATACACCAGCCTTGGTCTGAGTCCCCATTGGCCCATACTCTTTGTTCAAAGCATCCCTCATGGTCAAGTTCCCCTGGATACTGTCCTCAGCRAGCAACCTACTGCCTGCATACCCATAAGCATCCTGAACATTTGCTGGATCATCCACAGCAYGCCCTGTTGCTAATGCTGCATCAATGGCACCATTCTGTAGGGTAGAGCCGACAACACGGTGGAAGAACTGGGGATAGTTACTAGCCGGTTGCTCAGTCTGTAGCCGGTTAGTTGCCTCTTTGTCAGCTTGGAAAGCAGCCCTGTGCAAGTCCTGTCTATTGAAGAGGATAGAGCAGCAGCTATTGCAGGTAGGACACGAGCAGGTTGGCTTTCCATCCGCGTCTCGATGCAAGTACTCAGCCCCGGGCTTGCTGCATTCGGGACAGTTCCCTCCATCAGCTTGGTACTTGCAATGGATCTTGTACGCCCAGCATCCAAGCAGCTGTCCTTTAGAAGTTGGAAACTTGGGCTTCTTCCCCTCCCCAGTCCTCTCATACTCCTCCATCTYGTGGGTGTACTTCTCAAAGGCCTCTCGGTTCTTTTGGTTCACTTCATCGGTTGTCTCAACCGGCATGCAACAATTCATGCCTCCACACTTAKGGCAAGCAAAAGACTCCGCTTTGGTTGGATCAAAGGGGATCTTGTCCTGCTTTCTTTTTCCATCCCTCTGTTGCTTGATAGAAGATCCTTTGTTCAGCTTTTCAATCTCCTCATCCTGTTGCTTGTCCACGGCTTGTTTCACAGCCTTGGCAATGGTTCGAAAGAGGGGAAGAGCACGCGTTGCATCATTGCTGCTCCTGGATCTACTGGCTCGTTGATGGATGCTTGGAGTAGGCAACTCAACCCCCTTCCTCATCTCCATTGCAACATAGATTGAAGCCAGGATGGAAGAAGCGTAGTGAGATCTCCAGGCCTTCTCTTGCTTGCTCTTGCCTAGACCGGCAGAGACAATATCAGTATGGAGGAGGCGCATCTCTTGTCTCAGTCCCTTGGCTTGATTGCCTGGGAAGAGTGCTTCAACATCCCCTTCAGTGATTGACTGGATAGCTCGAAGATGCTGCTTCTTCTTCACCAGGGGAAGGAACTTCTTCCTCTCCAGAGCAGTGTAGGCTACTTGATAGATTGGATTGGTTTGAGTGAGTGGAAGGCTGGGGACAGGGGCCCCTGAAGGGCGTCTCGCGTTGCTCATGTTGCTGCTTGCCGACGTCGGAAGAAGCAGTCTCGTCGTGAAAAAGAAGCTACACTGAACACGCAATAAAATGGGTTACACTTGCTTGTTTGCTACATTTCAAGACGTTTTCAATCGACAATTAAAGAGAGCTATCCAGTGATACCACTTACATTAGAAAAGGTTGAGTGGAAGTGCTTAAAATGGAGCAATTCCCATGGTCGGTTGCTTTGAACCAAGTAGTTTTCTTTAGAATGAAAAGAACAGTTTAGCACGCTAAATTAGCACGCTGTAGCACGGTGAGAGTAAAGGTCGAGACACTAGGACACAGTACATTTTTGAACGCGTGATAAAAACCCTTCTATTTTGACCAAAATCTCAAGCCAACTACCTTGATTCACGATTTTCTACGGGATTTTCTACACAGCTTTGTACTAGGATCCATCCAAAACAGCTAATCTTGCTTCTTGCTTCCCCCCGCTGAGCAGCTGTTGGCCAGCCAGCGTGACACGTTACGGGGCTAGTACTGATTGTACGTAGGCCTACCTAGCATAGTTGGCAACTTGCGCTGCAAGTTGACAACTTGGATTCAAAGTTGACAACTTGGATTCAAAGATGATAACTATGATTGAAGAGCACTTGYGCGCTCGCGCGGCCGTATTCAATTGTTATGAAACGCGTAGTAATGGTAAGTCCCTTAGTCGCAAGTTATTGGCAATTCCCCRGGTGTCAATTTTTTCTCATTTTCCCGTCTTTATTTCCCCGCTCCCCCCCCCTCCACACAAAAAACTAYSAAGTCCTAAAATATTTCTATTRGTGCTCCTTACTACTGGGGATATAAAATCAGTGGTTACTACTTGAGAATTAATATTAGTGCTTACTACTGGATCACCTCCATTACTACTTACTAGTTNTTACTACTGGATCACCTCCATTACTACTTACTAGTTGGGATGCCATAGTAGTGAAAACTGCAAACTGCTGGGTAAGGGGGTTCTGTTGGTGCTGCGTAAGGAGCACTAATAGAAATATTTTAGGACCAGCGAGAAATTAAACAATGGAAATATTTTTATTTTCGTCCGTTGGATGCCATTTTTAACTGGTTTTAACTGTAAAAATGAGCTAAAATTTTTTTTAGTATTTGTACGGGGATTGCCAATAACTTGCGACTAAGGGACTTACCATTAATAGCTCTATTGCTTCCAATACAGTAATCCTCCAGTTGCTCGCTTTTCACGTGTAATTTTCACGTGTAATCACCAGCGCTGGATTACAAAAAGAATACATGTAATGGTGGGCTAACAAACACTAGTTAATTTTTTACTTAAATCTCGCACCTTGATGGATTACAAACCTGCAAAATGGATTACATGTAATCCAAAATTGTATTCAGCACTCTTGTGAGCAAGAGCCTTAATTTTTCCACAGTAGTGCTAGTTGTTTGGCTGAATTGGATTACAAGAAGAACTCCAAAAACAAAATTTTCTCCTAGGATTACTTTTTTTGAGGTCAATCACCTCCCAGACCATTTTTTTGTTTTCAACTGAGCTCACTCAACTTTGTACTCTTCCAACAGCTCCTCCTCGTCTGTATCAGCAACTTGTATCAGCAACTCCTTGTATCAGTGTCCTCCGTATCTTGTTGTCCTCCGTATCATATCAGTGGCTACTCCAATGTATCGTATCAGCAGTAGAAATCAAAGTTTCCTCCGTATCGGTGAGTGTCCACCTTATCCAACTCCTCCATATCAGCAACTCATATCAGCAACTCCTTGTATCAGTGTCCTCCATATCAGTGTCCTCCGTATCATTGAGCATCCTCCGTATCAGCAGCCCCATATCAGTGGCTACTCCAAACGTATCGTATCAGCGGCTCCTCTGCTGCCGTACTATCGTATCTTTTTGTTCTTGCTCCGTCAATGTGAGGAGTACTAACGCTCATGAATGTGGTGGTTACAAGGAGTAGCGCTCGTGAATGTGGTGGGTGCTGGTGATTACACGTGAAAAGTGAGCAAACAAGAGGATTATGTAAATAATCAGCCAGCTAGCGGCGGTCTTCCTCAGCAATCAGCACTTCAACTGAGTCCAACAAGGTCTTGAGCTGCGCTCTTGACCTTGTTAGACTCAGTCTCAATACTGATTGCTGAAGATTACTTGTGTAATCCGTATGTAATCTAATCAGTACTAGTACTGTACTCTGGAAAACCTTCGAAAACTTCCTTAAGGAGAAAATTATGTGCGGTTGAGCGCGACTGCACATAATTTTCTCCTTAAGGAAGTTTTCGAAGGTTTTCCAGAGTATGGTACGGATCAGATTACATACGGATTACTACACATATACCGTGAGTAGCTTGCCGATTATATTAGTAGTACATACTAGTACCAAGTACTGTACTACCCATTGAAGATTGAAGCAGTTGGCTACGATGCACTGGACTCAACTATCTTTAGTTCACTGCAGCCAGTAACCTTGAAGAATTCTTTACAGCCCTGGACTTACCAAGGAAACAAAAAGAAACTTTTTTTGTGTGGATTTGTGTAAACCCTCCTGGTATACCATTTTTTGCAAATAAGTTAGTACCTTGACCAAAAACAGATTATTCATTCTTTTTAGATGAGACATGGAACCAAAAGAAGAGCAAGAAATAAATGTATACCTCAGAAAATAACTTCAACCTTACTAGCAATAACTTAGTTTTTGTACTGTAGCAAGCGTTTGTGTTACAGCGAGCCAATCGACGGCATATTTTCTACATGTACTACGCGTAAAACAACAAGTGAAATGACGTCAGTAATTGAAACATTGGGAATGTTAATTTAACATCATAAGGAAAGTWATTATGTCACTGGAGGCCTATGTAGATCCTGGTATTCTAATTATCAGCATTCTTCAATGTTGTAGTGCCCTACCTTCCCAAAACAATTATTTGGGTCTTGTAGCAAATACCTTAAAAACGAGGAAGAAGGACGTCCTTTTCTACTGCTACTACTAGTATTAGTAGTAATATTCACCACACTATTAAGCAGAGCATTCAGCAGGAGGTTAAAGAATTGAAGCAAAAACTGCAGAATTTATTTCTACATAGCAAACACTGCTAACATTTGGAATGTTAAATTAATGATCCCAATGCATCAATCACTGTAATCTCAATTGTTCTTGTTTTATGCCTAGTGCTAGGAAAACAATAATTGAAAGTAGTACATCGTTAATTGAGGCATTGTTGGGAATGTTAATTTAACATTCCAAATGTTATTTTAAAATAAGGAAAGTTATTATGTCACTGTAGGCCTACRAAGATCATTGTATTCCAATAATCAGCATTCTTCAATGTCATAGTGTGCTACCTTCCCAAAACAATTATTTGGGTCTTCTTGCACACAGTACCTTAAAAATGAGGRAGAGCAAGGATGTCCTTTCTTGCTAACATCAAGACTGTTAAGCAGAGCATTGAGGAGGTTAAATTGAAGCAAAAACTGCAGTATTCATTCATATCTACATAGCCTAGTACACTGCTATAATTTGGAATATTTAAATTAGTGTTCCCGATGCCTCAATTAACAAAAAATTTAAAGTGTTGTTTTACACATAGTAGTAGCAGCACCAGTTAATTTGATGTAAAATGCGCAAACTGCTGTAAAAAGAACCCTACCACGCCCTACAGGGCAAAAAGTCATGATTCTACTCAAACTCCAATATTATTACTAGTAAAATTGCAGTTAATTTTGAAGCCCAGTGTTTTGTACTTGATCTCAGCATTTAGTATTGGTTCCTACACAGATCTACTAGTATTTGGTCACTCTTTCAACCCCAAACAGTTCAATAAGCTAACCACAACAGCTCCGGAAAGGCCTCTACTGAGATCCMCTACTTTGGGGATATGCTCAGTCATAGTGTTAAGAAGAGTGCTGTGTGTTATTGTTACACACCAATTATAGGCCAGGGGGGAGCTGGTTCTACATTAACTGCCGGTATGGCCAAAATTGGCCAGTCAAGACCAGCAGCTGGTGGTTAGAAAATAGGCTAGAACTCTATAAAACAAAACTCTAGACCACCAGACTAAGTGTCCAGTACAAGTTGATAAAATTGCTTAAAGATCCATGTCATTGGGAAGCCAAATGATGCTCTAGCAGCTTAGAACTAGTCAGCCAAAGTTTCAGTAGTGAGTGGCCAAAAATTGTTAATTCTACTAGGTGTAATTTTATAACAAATTAACTGGTACTGTACTGTACCATACTGCCATAGTCCCATGCAGCTACTGTTTTGTGCCAAGCAACTTTATCAAAGGGAGTTTCTCAAAGCAATGGGAAATAAGCAATGAACAGGACAGAAAAATAGAAATACAAAATACACTGTTGACATCAATGAGAAAAAGTAAAGTTCTGATATGGTACTGCTAGGTTGGTGTTCAATGGTTTTTCCGACCACACTTTCTGCCAACATATATAACAAGGAGAGAGCTTAGTACTACTAGTCGAATTTACTAGAATACTTTGGGTCCTCTCTACAGGTATTATATCTTGAGGATAACTAGCTTTCCACGCAAAAATGCCATAATATTGGAATAGAGGCCAACGAAAGCTATTACTACGTGACATAATTTTTCAATCCCATTTACTCCCAGCCCGGTTAACTTCTGTCTAGAAACCACTGGCATAAGGCACTATTCTAGAATCTTGTAGCGTCTGGTCAGCAGTCACAATATCCGGGGATCCGAGGTTTCTCCAACAAGTTATATGAACTAGTGTATTCTCGGTGTCTTTGGCAGCTGCTTCATCCATAAGAACTTCAATTTCTCTGCAGTTGCTGTACTTATAAATACCATCGTCATTGTCGAAGAACATCTTAAAATTGATACCACAAATAACGCATCGATCTCTCGTCTCGTCAGCTGGCATTGTAAAGGTATCCGGATCGGCATCATCATCCCCACCCACCACTCCGGTTCCATCACCATCCTCAGGATCGGTCGAGGCTTCTTTAGATTTTCCTACCATGCTCCATAAGCTATCGTTGTCATACCACCCACGCTCCTGAGTTGCTGTCATACTTTTTTCGAGTTGTTTTTTTCTGAACAATGCATCCATGTGCTTTGTCACTTCCTGTTGCGTTGCAAACCTACGTCCATCATTACTCAAAAAGGGCAATCCAACTTCGTATAGCAATCCAATAATTGCTTCGTTTAGTTTCTTTATTCCGTCGTTTGTGAATAGGGATCTGTCGATCTTGAAATAGCTCGGAGCTAGAGTGSCGGACATGCCATTAAGGCCAGAGTAACCTGACAACGATATCTTGGATTTTGCAATCTGACTTTCCAAATCGTCCTTAATTTGCTGCAGCTTATTTGTTAATAAAGTAGCGGTAACAGATACTGTGGCTAATGCACCGGTCATCTCAATAGCTTCGATTTGCGTGTACCGCTTTTCGATGTTTGCGGACTCCCTTACCAAGCGATGAAGTGATGCAATGGCATCGCGAGGTTCTTTGGCGTTCTTGGCCAAGTTTACTTTCGCCCACTGCTTACTCCGCTCCAGCATTTCCGGGCTTCTAGTCTCAGTCAAAAATAAAAACCCGTTGTTCGTTGCTTTCAATAGCGACTCAGACGTCTCCCCATTTCCACCGCCAGAAGATTTTTGCGTGTTTCCCGATCCATTCCTCAGTGAGGTTTCAGCCATATCTTTTATTTGTATCAGCAGATTAACATTGATAGCTGCTAATCGCTCCAATGAAACTTTTTCCATTTCGTCTTCGTCTTGTTGCATCTCGTCCAATATTTTTTGCATGGCATCACGAAGCGCAGGTACCAAACTGAGTCTTCCGTCCTTCTGTTGTTAGGAGTCGAGAAAGTGATGTAAAAYAGAGTTAGTGGAAATATCAGTTGAAGAAAAATCACACGAATGGCTCGATAGATAAAACCCGAAGTGCCGATATCGAGTTATTTGTTTGAACAGAAGATGGTAAATTATTAATAACAAKAAGTCCTTTATTCATATTCATGCTATCAAAGCAAACAGTCATCAGAAAAAGCTGCAGTAGACGTACCCCAATGCTCAATCCTGCTTTCTCTAGATCAGAATTGCCCACGGCACCACTCGAAGTAAAGAAGCTTCCTATTTCTTCAAGCTTGTCTTGGGCAAAAATCTTCCTGCTGTTCCAAAGATTCCATATTTTTTCCAGTTTTGCACGATTCTCCTGTGACAAGACTTGATAAACCGATGGGAGCCAATTTGCTGCGTCATTTTCTACAAGTGGTATAAATTGTCCCTTCACGTTGTATAATATGGAGTCTACGAGATAGACCAATGGTAACTTGCGGTCGCTGTGAACAGCGGTCGAGATGAGAGGTTCACGAATAATGTTGTAAATTGCTTTCGCATTTCTGGAGCTATCCGCGTAATCTTCAGCCACCATCGAAAGCGTGTTGATTTTTACTTTTTCTGCTCGAGTGCCGAGATCCTCTACCATTTCTTTGTATTCTTCTAGCTGCTCGTCGTCGATCTCGTCAGTCGAGTCGTCTCCGGCGTATTCCGCTGGCGTGTCCTTATGTTTCTGTTCGGCATTTTCTACCGTGTCATTGTTAATACTCATTGCTTGTAGGTAACTTCAACGAAGCGAGATGAGTGGAAGGGAGGCGTGTCCAATTAATTTAGACTGAAGCTTTCTAATGAGTGGAAATACCAATTGAGGGGAAATGGAGAATGATCTTACTTCTCGACAGATAATTATATGGACTCTCGTGACGATCGACTTTCTCTAGCACGTACGAAACCATGGATGGTCGGTGTGACTAAAGCAGCTTGGGAGAGACAGAGGCCTCGTTATACGATCGAATACACCTGTCTTTCAATCTTCGAACGGTGAAAGCGAACGTCTGAATCGTACTCGTACTACCCGCACGATGTTGATTAATGTGCCGAATGAATGGGAACCTCCTGTGTACAAGCACCATTTTTTGAAAAATTGTTACCGTACGATATCTGATCTTTTCCATGTCTTGCGCAAGTTTTGTTGTTGGGCTTTTTGGGAACATTAGTATTGTTCTCCATATTTGGGGGAGAAATAATAATGATACTGATACACCTTTGGTAGCAGTAGTATTCGTAACGAACCGAATGATACAAAAGCGTACACGGGGGACGCCTGAGTGTATGCACGTACGTACGGGTATTACATAAACTGCATCGTCCGTTTCTTACGGCATTGCATACCGGTTCCTTCTAGGAGTAAGGTCTGGTTTCAATAACTTAAGTACCGGTACGTACGTAGTGTACCGTATTGTACGTACAGTGTAAGACCTTTGCGAGTATATCGAAATCCGTTCGTCCGTCGCTTACAAAACGGATAATGGCCAGACCTCAGAATCAACGGCAATGGAGACCGTGAACCTCACCACAAGTAGAGAACACAGAAAATATTTTACGGTGCTTCGTTGTACCGCACGTATCGTCTTACTTACTTTGCTGCGAAAAAAGCTGTGAACGTGTCTAATTCATGCACGTTGGCTACAAGCAACAAAATCACCCTCAACACTCCAAACGAGAAAAATCTACAATTGCAGGTGAGGCCATGACCAGTTGTTACGAATATGGACAACTTATTTAAATCAGCATCTCTTGAGAATGTCATCGTTTGGGGAAAAGGATTCGTCAGACTGGGTGAAAACTTGAATGGACACGAATGCTGTTCTACAACCAAAACTGTTCTGATGCAGTTACCCGAATGAGCTCTATTGGAACTGAATTGAATCACAGTTTACGTTTACAACGACTTAGCAAACAGCAAAAGCAGCTTGTTGGAAAAATCTCACATTATTCTTTTCTTGTATCCAACGCGATGCCTTTATCATCATCACGGAATTATCTGAATTTCAGCCTCTTCTAGTTCGAGCCGGTTGCTGAACGTACAGTTTTCTGTCTCTTACTTATTCATATAAACATATAATAAAACAACAATTACAATGGCAGAGACGGATGCTATGGCTGCGGCCCGGGCGAGAATGATCGCCAAGCGATTTGGAGGGGCTTCGACATCAACTGGCGGAAAGGGATCGGTCCGAAGAAAGAACAAGAAGGTATCGCGAAGTGCTGCTGCGCAATCAGACGCCAAGCTCGGAACGACGCTCAAGAAACTTGGAGCTACCAACATCCCTGGAATTGAGGAAGTCAATCTCTTCAAGGAGGATGGAAAGGTCATCCATTTCACAAACCCCAAGGTCCAGGCTGCCATTGCAGCCAATACCTATGTCATCTCCGGACCTAACGAGGAAAAATCATTGCAGGAGCTCTTACCATCCATTGTTTCGCAACTGGGCATGGACAACCTTTCCCAACTTCAAAGCATGGCCGCACAAGCCGGTGTTGGTGCGACCGAAGCTGCCGATGACGATGACGACGATGATGTTCCCGACCTTGTCGAGGGCAACTTTGAAGAAGTTTCCGAAAACTAAGTCACAATTCCAACATCCACTGTCGAAAACACGCTTTGTCATCCATCACACGAGGGGCAGACTTTTTGTATAGCTGCATGGTGGGCACACTCGTAGTTTTTCATACTAACCTATGAAATAATTATGATATCTACTAATAAAAACGTTTCAATATGGATCGAGACGATAGAAGCAATAGCTGGAATGATGTGTTTGACAAATCGAATGGGAAACGCACTTTCGCTTTCAATCTGTGATGGCTTGAGCTTGAAAATGAATTCACTTTGTCGTAATTAGCTTCTTTCATGGGTCAGTCTCCTTTCAAGTAGTGTCATTTATCTTTCTACTTCTGACTTGTGTATTGATACAGTACATATTTATCAGAAAATTCTGTTTGGCAAGACGGCAACTATAGTAATTCATAGTGTTGCTGATCAAGCATATGATACACAAATGCAGTACTGAACAATAAAAATAATGACTTAAACATGTTTCTTATTTCATTTACTTCTTCTTCTGGTGTTTGTCTATTCTTCTGGCTTCTTCTTGGTGTGGTATCAAAGTTGATTCATGCATACAAACAATAAGCTGCTAATGAACCACCAGCAGTCTATTGAAGAGATATAGTACAAGATACAAGACCAGCAGCAAGAACAGCAGAAAAAAATTGCAAAAGAAAGAAGMTGATGACCACCATTTCTTTTTTCCCTTCTTTTATCAGCAGCATCATATATTTCTTTCATAGTACTATTGTCTATGCAGACCACTACTATTTCTACTGGCTTGACAGCAACAAGATATGCTAAATGTTCCTATTTCATTGCTGGTTGATACACCCCCAGCTGAATTGAGTAGTACTACTAGTACTATGTTACATCATACTATTACTAGTARAAGTAGTAGTAAGTGAGAATTGTTTTGGTAGATGACATCACACAACTTTTAGTATTGCTTGTGGTGGTGCTTCTGAGCTCTACCAGAGCTACTGCTGGATAGTAATAGTACTCAACAACCACTATACTACTCTTTGCAGATAATACCAGCAACTAGTTTTTCAAATGATAAATATTTTTTTCCAAGTCACACAAAAAGTTGGTTTCAAAGAAGGGACAAGATTGGCCTGCACAAATCAATTGTTAAAGAAATCTTAAAATAATATTTTACCTTGTAAACTAGAAGAGGCACTATATGGTCAGAACCGCCATGACTTCTCTGGACCAGGGAGAAGAATGCTCCTAGCTGCTCCAAGGGGTGGCAACTCCCTCCTCTGAGGAGGTGTTGTGGAGGCGCAACCAGGTTCTATGCACACTGGCAGACCAATGGAGGCCTGGGGCTGGATTTGGAGGACATAAAAGGAGTTGGTTCACAGTTTGGATGGATGAGAACCATGCCATTGTCATTTCAAAGGGCACTGCCAGGCCCAAAGGCAAGTTGCCTCATACAGTGATCAAGAAAATTGGTACCAAGCACACTGCCACACCAGTGAAGGCATGCTCTCTTGCAGTCTACAAAGACACATGTGGTGGAGTAGTCAAAAAGAAAAAGGAAACCAACACACTTCTTTCAAATCACAGCTGAGCCCACCCAAAGGAGCAACTGTTTGTGGAGTATCTTCTTGAAGAACAAGAAACTAGGGATAGATCAACAGATCTAGATATGGGGTTAAATACTGGGGGCTGGGGTTGTTGTCGTTCCTGTCCAACACTGATGACAGAAACAACAACATCATGACTGGAAAGCACTGGGGCTTCTGGTCTTTGAGAACTGGGGATGGATCCAACTCAGGCAAACTGGTGCACACAGCTGGTGGTAGGGTGCTGGAAATGATACTGGTCTCAGCAGTATCAACTGGGATTGTTGTTGTTGTTGGTGGTGTTGTTACTTCAAACACAAATGTTGGAAGCAACAACAACAACAACAACAACAACAACAACAACAACAACAACAACAACAACAACAACATCGTGACCAGAATCTGCTTCTGGTCTGTAATGAATACTGGTGGAATTGCATGAGTATGATGTAGCATATACTCCAGGTATTGTGCTTCAATAGGTCTTCGTTGAATACTGGGGGCTGGGGTTGTTGTTGCTGTCCAACACAAATGTTGGAAACAACAACATTGTGACTGAAAAGCACTGGGGCTTCTGGTCTGTAAGGAATACTGGTGGAACTGCATGGAGATGCTGGGGAATCTTCAACACCCCTTCTCAGGGTTCTTGTAATCAGTTTCTTTCATCAGTTTTCTTCTTATGCAATGACAAATTAACTCAAGGAACTGACAAGCATCTTGTGTTGTCATGAATTTTTATATGTGTCAACCTTTATTTTAGTACTTCTTGGTTCCAAATACTTTTCAAGTCATTGTTAAAACTCTGGTTTCTCTGTACAATCTTCTGTGTGGCACTTTAAGATTCCTGCTTGTGCTGTTGTCAATTCTCTTCTGCTGAGGAGTAACAACTTTTCCACCGCTGCTGCCAATTCTGTTCCAAGGAGAACAACTCTATCATTCCAAGGAGAACAACTCTATCAAAATTTGAAGAGAAACTTTTGATGTAAAATTCTAGTATTGCTGTTGTCATTGTTGTCACTCTTTTGGTTTGTGTTTTGTATCATTAATGTAAATATTTTACTACTGCAGTTTGGTACTTATTGGTGTACAGAGTCGGCAGACCAGTGTACGAACCAGTTGTACATTTTGGGCTACCTTTTTCCTGAGTAAAATATGTCAAGCATGCCTACTGACATCATGAAATCTTGTCCACTAACATCATTTATTTTATTGAATTTTTGTCATGATGTCAATCAACATCTYAGAAATACATTCTTGATGAACTTATTGACCTGAAATACCATCCATTGTTGCACTGATGTTGCACCAATACTGCTCCTTCATGATGTTGCTAGCAACAATGCAACTTGTTGTTCATTGTCAGACACAGAGGAGTCCTCACATCCATGTGCTGAAGCTACCATTATCCCAGTGAAAGTGCTTCTTGTTCCAACAACTGACATCTACTTGCCCCCCCCATTGGTGACACTAATCAGCAACACTTCCAAACACCCACCAGCAACAATATTCAGCAACAGTGCATCTCCAGCAACACCAGTATCAGCAACACTACTCAGCAAGTTATTGATGCCACAAGCTACCAAGGACAACAAATTGACATGCTATCCACAACAACATCAACAACAAATCAACAAAACCCATCAGCAGCACTAATCAGCAGCACTAATCAGCAACAGTCTTCCTTCAGCAACAGCAACAGTTTTTTTTCAGCAAGAACACTTGTATCCATAAACAGTATCATCAGCAACATTGAGCAGCTGCTATCACTGCAAACTACAGTAACAACAAATCTACTACAACAACGAATCAACCCTAGTAAGCAACACTAGCAGTGACACTCAGCAACAYTATCAGCAACACTATGGATGTCACTCAACAACATGACATTCAACATGACAACCAGCTAGCGCACAAACAACAAAATGACAACTGGCAAGGGCCCTTGTGGAGTCCCAATCTGCAGCCTTTGAGTTAGAATCAGATTTGGAAACTTTGTTTGAGGATGATGAAAGCTCAAGTGATGAGGAGGAGGTTGATGATACTGAGCATAATTATGATTCTGAGGCTTCCAGGATGAGTCATGAGGGGGCTGATCAAGCAGAGTTCTTCCATGTAATCACTCCCTAGAGCCAAACAGCTTGGAATTGGGACAAAGCAATTGAGCCTCATGATACTGAATTCTTTTATTGGAACAATGTAACTATTGTTGATAGCAGTCTTACCTATCCAAAAGTTCCACTGGGTTATGAAAGAAAGGACCCAAAGGTCGACAAAGGAGAACCAGAAGACTGGGATGATGTAGACAATCCTGGTGGTTGGCATCCACCACCATATTACTACAGACCCAAGTTTGAAGCAGGTATGGGGAAATACAAAGGTCACTTCCTTCCTTCTGAGTGTAAGGCTGTGGAAATCCCTAAATACTTAGCTGGTCTTGGCAAGGAACCCATCAGGGAGGGAAAAGGGTGGAAGTTTCATTACCTTGTGTGGGATGGTAAGGCGGAAGATCCTAACAATGACTTTTCAAGGAAGTTTGCTACTAGAAACAACATGTTTCCAGACAAAAGGAAKGGGAAGTTGGATATCTTCAAGCTTCAGCAGCATGGGCTCACTCAAGATTGCATTGAAAACCGAGATGAGTTCTTCTTCTATCAGTTGCTCCTCCTTCCTATTGCTGCTCCAGACTCAATGGAAGCTCAGCGCTACCAAATTGAACTGGAGAAGAAGCTGAGTTATTACAACAAGGTGATGAGATATAYCAATGTCTACATCTCTGATTCAAATGAAGGGGCAGGACACCAAATGAAACCTTTCACCTTACCTGAAGCACCAGTTCATTTTGATGGCATCCTCCTTTTTACTATGCATGGAGCTTGTGAAGGGGCCAGGAGTGAGAACATCAAGTATAGCTAGTAGATGGGATTCTAAGGATCTTTCATTCAACAAGGAGATTGCAAGCACTATGACACATACAAGGTGGCATGAAATTAAAAGGAACTTGAAGCTATGCAAAAACAATTTGGAAAGGGCCAATTAATAGATTAGTAGATAGGCAGTTGAACGGGGCATTTGTAGTACAGTAATTGACATACGTACCGTACGTTCGCATACTCGAAATATTSGAAACATGCGACTCTACATACTGTACGTACGAGTACTACTTACCGGTACATCGATCCAGCTCCGATTTTAGATGAGATCTCAGATCGACTTCTTGAAATTTGAAATTTGATTTTTGAACATTTCCCGGGTTCAGTTTTTTGGTTTACAGTACTACCAATGGTCAGAATTTACCGTACTAGCAGTATCGGTATTCATGCCGATACGATACCTGTAGTAATGAATTGTACAATACGGTAGTACAGAACGAGTACCGTTGTTCGATTGCATCCTGATCTCTAGTACTTTTCGATCGACAGAGATATGGGGTACGATTCCTAGCAAGAAAGCAAACCATACGGTACTGTAAGCGATTCACAATTTCGGCCCACTAGAATGAGAAACTGTGGAGGAAAGAAAAGGAGGTCCCGTCTTCGTATTATCGAGTCGGATTCAGATTCAGACTTCGAAGATGATGTTGATGTGGTACCAGATGATGATCGTTACGAGATCAAATCAGAATCTGAGAACGAAACCGTTGAAAAGTTGTCTATGTCATTTCAACATTCGAAAATTTTTGACGGAGAAAGTGACGATCCGTTTCATGATTCCGATGTTTCAAATCCTGGTAGTTCATATAGTATGAAGAATCAGTCACCGTCTCGAGGAAGAGGACCACATCGACTCAAGGACTTTTCATGGTCGTCTTCTGACGAAGAAACTATAGAAAGTGATTCCATTTCAGAAAGAGCGACCAACAAGAAAGTAAGAAGACGGAGGGATTCTCTTGTATCGAGTCCAAAGAGTTCTATTTCTCGTTCACCCTCATCATTTGTGAGTGCTTCGTCTATCTGCGATAAGAAGGCGTCTGAATCGAACAAACAAATCGGGATGGCGAGCTCAACTACTGTAAATCTCAAATTGCCTTCTGCAAAGGGGCCATACCGGTATAAAAGTGATCTCTCTTTTTCTGATTCTTCATTGTCAAGTTCTGAAAGTGACTGTCCTTTGGAATTGAGAAAACGAAACAAAAAAATGTCAGAAGAGAACTTTTCTTGGTCATTCAATAAGAGCCGACAAGAGTACACCATTGGCGGAAAMAACAAAATTCCACCGTTTTCAATATCCTCCAATCTTTACGATAAATTATACGATTTTCAGAAGGAAGGTGTAGCTTGGATGGCCGGGCTGCATATTCCTAGAATTGGTGGTATACTGGGAGATGACATGGGAATGGTAAATTTCAATGGAAAATTTCAGTCTAGCTCGTCGACATCAACACATCTGCTTTCTCATGCAATCTCATGCATTATGTTGGTTCACTCTTCTCTCATAGGGCAAAACATTCACGACACTGACCTTCCTTGGAGGCTTGATGAAGGCGAAGACGATTAACAAAGCTGTTGTGGTGGCTCCTGTCAGTGTCTTGCGGAACTGGGAGAATGAAGCGAGAAAAATTCTACCTCTCTGTTGTCACGTCAAAATCCAAGTCCTTTCTAGCGATGTTACAGTATATAATAGGCAGAAGAGATTACACAAGGCATTAGAAGCACAATCGCCACAACTAGTGATCACCTCATTTGGTTTGGTGGCAAACAACCCTGGCCACTTCACGCAGAATGTTGCTGGGAAGCAAGTTTGGGACTACATCATATTGGATGAAGCGGTAAGTCCGAATTGTTTGTTGACGGCGTTGAAAAGTGATGTGTTTCTATTATTGCTAAACTAATCTTTTCCTTATTTTTACGTCGTCAGCATAAGATAAAGAATCCCAACACGAAAACTAGCGAAGCGATGGAAGTGATAGCAAAAAATAAAAAAACTCGTAGATTAATTTTGACCGGTACCCCAATCATGAACAATCTCAGAGAGCTGCACGCACTTTTTACTTTCGCGACTTCTGGAAAGATTCTTGGAACGCACAAAGAATTTCAAAACGATTTCGGTAAACCCATTGAGGCTGCGAGAAGTGCAGATGCTGACCATTTTGAGGTGAAAAGGGGAGAGGAAGCAATGCAAGAGCTACAGAAATTGATTCAACCATATTTTCTGCAGCGAACGAAAGCCGAATATCTTGCCGAATCACTTCCAGCCAAACATGAATACGTACTCTGGACAAATCTATCTTCTCTCCAACGAGAAATGTACACGAAATATATCCAATCTGAAATTGTTTCTAGTCTTCTAGAAGGTGAAGCTAAATCTCCATTGTTTGCAATTTCATGGCTTCAAAAGTTRTGTGGCCATCCTTTGCTTGTCGAAGAGAAAGCTGTGGATTTAGCTGACGGTTATGACGAATATGACGCGAAGGAGTTGATGGCTACATCCGCAAAGCTTGAAGTTGCCTACAATCTTCTTGATGCCTTGATTCGAAAAGGCCATCGGACCTTAATTTTCTCGCAGTCCACAAAAGTACTGGACATCATCGAACGTGTTCTGAAGTATAAATTCAAGCTATTACGAATCGACGGATCAACGAAAGAAAAAGATAGACAAAAATATGTCGACGAATTCAACGAATCGGGTTCGGATATTGATATCATGCTTATATCTACCAAAGCTGGGGGACAGGGCCTAACTTTGACAGGAGCAGATTCGTGCATAGTTTACGATCCATCGTGGAATCCTGCAGAGGATGCACAAGCAGTTGGTAAGTCCAAGACAAAGAAGTCTGGGAAGGATTTTACTTGTTTTCTAATTGTCTCAGTTTAACTTATTGATTTCACTTTGTTTAGATCGTTGCTACCGGCTTGGCCAGAAGAAGGAGGTTCAGGTATTTCGACTCATTACTGCAGGTACGGTAGAAGAGAAACGGTACGAAAAACAAATCCATAAAGATGGCATACGTCGGACGATTCTAACAAACACTGGAAATAATACAGCGAAGTATTTCACTAAAGAGGAACTCAGGAAGAAAGTATTTGTTCTCGGGAATGAAGGTGAATGCGAGTTCCTGGAAAAACTTGAGATGAGAGGATATGGATACGACGCTCGGAAAAATCCAGCTTATTCCTATTGCTCCCACAAAGGAGTAGTTGGCCAGAGTTCACACGACATTGTCTATTCGCTGCCAGAGAGTTTCTATTTCGATGAGCTCATCACATCGTATTCGCATCAACCATTTAGCAGCCTTCCTACAGAATCGACTTGGATTGCGAACAAAAGCAAACCTCGGCCCATGGGTCGATCCTCCAAAGTTCCGTCCAAAAAAAAATATTACAATGAAGACAAAGAGAACAAAACTAAAAATAGTAAGATGGAAGGGGTTCGAAATTTCAGCGAGACAACAAAAACTRACCTTTCGTCTGACATTGGTAATCTGCCGTCAGATTCTCAAATCGCATTCAAGAAATTGATTTTACRGGTTGAGCGTCTTCACCGCTCCGGGAAGAGAGAACAGGCGGTGGGAGTGCTAATGGACCTTCTCGACAAAAATCTTGGGAAAGCTCACTCACAAAAAGTACACGAGATGATGTCTTCTGTAACGAATGAGATAGGATGGTTAGATGGCTGAATCGAATACGTATCACAATTAATAGGAACCAGGGCCATAAGTGTCCGAGGCAAATTCCACACCTGCCGCGACTAAGACTGGCCTAAAAGACAGCAAAAAAGAACGTCTTTAACCAGTCTAAGCTGCACGTTCTAGAAACCAAAAGACTGAACTGATCGGATCGAATACTGCTGCGTTCATTTCCATGCTCRGCGTAGCAACAAGGTTGACGTGGCCACACAAATGGACCTATTCTGAAACTCGGATRATATTGAAAATAGGCATACAGCACATGTACTGAAAGTGCAAAATTCTTCAAAAACTGAAAAGACACTGTTCGATGAAATACTTTAATTTTTATCTCGACCAATTTTCTAAGATTGTATACGGGCCCAGCCCTTTTTCGACACGCTATCCTTACGTATATTGTGGGTAACGTTTCAAATGTGGGTAACGTTTCAAATGGGACGAAAACTTAGTACAAAGTATACTTTCTTAATCTGACCCAAAATGCCCACCCTTTCCGAGCGCAAAGTCGGAGAGGACCTTGATGGCTTCTTCTTTTTCTTTGATGGTCGTCTTCACCAAATCCTTAATAGAAACCATTCCAATCAGTTTCCCTTCTTCTACCAAGGGCAAGTGACGAATGTCGGAAGCCAACATTTTCTCCATACAAATTTGGACTGATTCCTCGGGCTTYAGTTTCATTCATTTTATTGTCGTTTTCCCAAAATAACAACCAGTATTGGGGCAAGTGTTGGAACCAATCACCAAAAATTGATCAGCAAGCAACATGCAATAAAAACAGAAAAGAATCAATCATCGTTGGGTCAGACACAATCGACAAAATCAAAACAACAGGACAACAATTCTTCAAAACGCGAGGCAAATGCTTCTAGCCAGGTGCGGCATTTAAATTATTAGTGTCTTCCGTTACTAAGCAGGACTCACCTTTACTGTAACAAGCTTACTGCTCATGGTGGCAATTTCCTTCACCTTCGTTTCCTTGGAGGTTCGACCGAGCAAGGCAATCTTTGAAATGTAGTCGCGTTCACTGATTACTCCAGCCAACCCACCTGGACGAAAATATCGTACGACAAAAGTCAAAACGACAAAATTGCAACGTTAGATATTTACAGGAACATGAGCAAAAGTTCAAGCGGTCCCGTTCTTTGGAAGATCCAGCTCGGTTGACGACAAAGAGGGAACTCAAAAAAAGTTATCGTCGTGATTTTTTGATTTTTTTTGCCAGATAAAATCAATCGAATGCGGTCATTAAAAGTGGAGTTCCCGCAACTGAACGATACATACCATCGTTGTCTACAACCACTAGACAACCGATGTTGTTTGCTGCAAACTGCTGTACGGCATCAATAACCATTGCGTCTTGATTGATTGTGAACGTAATGTTGCTGTATCCACTCAACTTTGCAGCGTCTGCGGCAGTCGTGACCTCCCCAACGGTAGTGAATCCCCTTGCGGCAACAGAAGCCCGGAAGTGGGCCGAGTGCCTGGCAACGGATCGAGCAGCGGTAGGTGCGATTCTAGAAAACATCGCGWGAATTTACGTTTGTCTTTACTCGATGAATTGAAATAAGTAGAGTGGTAATGACCAAGTGAGTGTCAAAGCTCGTTCCTAACTCAAAGCCTCAAATAGAAATTATTTTTTTGAAGTGCAAGCAAAATATTGTACCGTACCGTACAGTATTTAGGTATGAGAACTTGACAACGAAAGATACCGCGTGACGCTGAAATCTTCGGGGGGAAGATTGAAATTTCAAGTGACATCCGGTACGACACAGAAAGTGAATTCAACTGCTTGTTGAAACCTGCGTCGAACTTTCTGAATTCTCTGCAACGTCGATTTTCATTGGATGTTCTTGTTCACCAGAACTGCATGCATTGCAGGCAGTAGGCCACCATGCCGGTAGGACAATTCTACGGTATGAAAACTCGTGCAATAGAATGCGACATACAGTATTTTTTTGTCCAATTCTTTCAAACTTGTTGTACTACTGTACTTCCACCTACCGTCTCATATTAAAGTACAGTACTTGGTAGCGTACAGTGGCGTACGTAGCGTAGTGGACTTGGGGCATGCCGTGTACGAACTTTACTGTGACGAAGATCGTAGAGCTGTGGACAGATTTTCGCGCACCCAAACCACAGAACAGCGAAGAACACGTGTTCCATTGGTTGATTTTGTTCTATTAGTATTCGTGRGCGCGATCTGAGGAATACGAGCACAGAACACTGTGTGATTCCCGTTAATAGATGTGCTRCTTTTGATAGAACGTTAGACCGAAAATTTAGCACATCTATCAAAATTTAATGTGTTTGATAGAGTTCAAACTGGTGTTATCAAATGTAATACTGCTTAATGATGGAACTCACGATCCAAAATCCAGTGAAAGGCTCAACAGAAAGGCTGGCCAAMATTAAGACTGAATCAACAAAATTAAGACTCTCTAAACATCAAGAGACAAGCACCAGGCACATGATACTAGTCTATCAACAACAAGAACGGCACCACCACCATGGCGCCTCTATTAAATATCGAAACACAAAAATAATGTCTTGGTCAGTGCTCCTCTTAGTCAGTACATTCTATTTCCTTTCTTTGTTGCAGCCAAGAGAGCAACAACAAGAGGAGGAGGAGGCTGACTACAAAGAGAAAGAGGAGGTTATCGATTGCCCGCTCATAGTAGTATCCCACACTATTTTTGTATTAAACAACAACAAGATGACAGGCAATGGCAACAACAACACCAGCCAGAAGGCTGAAGTAGCAAACTACTCTCACAATGAGCTACACAGTCTCATGAGCATGATACTTGACAGGCTTCCCATTAGCTGGTGAGATGACTGGGATCTCATAGTGAATGATAATGCAAAGTTGTGGCCCTTCTTTAGAAGCCAGACATCCGTCAAGACTAAGTATGCAGCTGTAAAGAGGATAAAAAGCTCAACCAGGAATCCAATATGAYAGAGTAAGTGAAGATGGCACACCAGGTCCATATCTTGATTGGCCAGAAGGCAAATCTTGGTACTGGGGAGGAGGACTTTTTTGATCTGAAGCAAGGCTTCATCAAGAGTGAGGCTGTGGAGGGTTCAGCGCCCACCAAAACTGGTGTGCCTGCTGCTATTCTTGCTGAAGWAGCTGAAGAACYATCTATTGCTTTTGCCAGAAAAGCATCATCTGCTGAAGCGTYGCCTATTGGTGATGGAGAAATGCCAGGAGCATCTTCTGTCTTGACACCTTCACTTGTTGTACAATTGACCACTCCTATCCCCAGAAAGAGATCATACCAGCAGAAGAAATCAAGCRTCCTGGATCCTGCTGCATTCAATGAGTATATTATGAGCCTGCAAGAAAGAGACAGAGAGATTTGTGAGATGTGGAAGGATACCATTGGAGCTGCAACAAAGGAAGTTGCAAAGAATTTTCTAGGAGCTGCTGTTACCATAACAATCAATCACTGGCAACAAYACAATGCTGACCATGGTCCTCCTCCACACCATCATCCAACAAACCATTTGTACGCCTCCACACCTTCTCAGCCTCTGCCTCTGTATGCTTCCACACCTTGGCCTCCTCTGTGCAAACAACAATGCCAGCARYACCGAGAGGAATCCCATGGTGATGAGAAGGAAAGAGGCATTCTTTAACCAATGATTAAAGTTAAACTAAACTGCTTAGTTGATGCTACACTAATTAAATTAGATGAGCTTACTAATAGCATGAGCAGTCCGCAACAACAGTTTGTTGTTACAGATGCTGTAGATTGCAGTACTTCTTGTTCCACCAGATCCTACCAATTTGTGGTTTCATGTATACCTTTCCCAAGCACTTACCCGGGATTACATTTGATGTATATCCTGTAATGAAGAATATTGATTAAACCTCTTAGACAAAGCAATGCATTATAAATCAAAATACAGTGATGAAGACTAATGGATAATAGAATGCATGTGATTGCTGATCGATGACAGCTCCAAAGCAAACCCTCTTTTGTGGGATTGCACACATGCGTGAAAMRCTTTCTAATCCTGTTTTTGTTGCATGAAAACCTAGCTTCTACTGCTGTTTCATAGAAGCTAGTACTCTAATCTGTATGAAAAAGCAGCACCAAAAGCAGCAAACACAGCAGAAGTTAAAGCAGCTATAGCTATTCATTATTTGAATACTCTGCAAAGCGTACTGTGTTGATTAAACTAACTATTTGCTGCTAATCTAAGGTAAAGGAAAAACGACATGGGACCATGGCAGGTAAGAAGTGTACAGTCACTATTGTATTGATTTATCAATTAATTGGATTGATCACAATGTTGATTGATTGCTGTATTTCTGTAACAATTAGTAACTAAACTGCTTTCTTTTGATTAATCTCTCTTCTTTTTAACTAACCACAACATCCCTTCATCAAGTTGACTATGGGATTCATCCAGAGAACACACCATTGYCATTGAGTGATATTCCTTGACCTACTTCAAAGTACCCTCCTGCAAGATCCTCCTTCTCATAGGGAACCTCATTGCTACTAGTGGCGGCAGGTGTCTTCATAAAGGTGKATAGGGTTTGGTTGTGTCCTGTGGTGCTGCACTGGAAGTTGTACAAGTTGATGWGGAGGTTCATGATGATCCTCCTATCTCCAAGCTCTTCCAAGAACATTGGTTCTTTAATCCTTGGGAACTGTCCCTGGATTATCCTCATCMCTCATTCTGACATCTGTCTTRCTAAGGATGGGGTGTCCCTGTTCAATAATAGGAGGTTATTGTTGTCAGGATCCCTCTGTGAGCTCTTGATTAGGCTATTYTGATAATGCTTTGATGCAAAGGCTGAGTCTACAACAACCTTTGCCCCATTGCATGTGTTGTGGATCTCCTCAATCCTTTGATAGACCCTGTGGTCAGCAATGGAACTGTCATGCTAAGCCCCCATGCAGTTGTACACTGCAATCCTGATTCTACCATCTGGGGCAAAGGCAAACAAACTATTAACAAAGGTGTTTTCCTTCCAAGAATTCTTGTAGAATGCTCTTTGTTGGTRCCTTCTTCCAAATCAGCTGGAGGCAAAATGAGTGGAATAACTAACTACTCSACTCCCGAAGTCATGAATATGCTCAGCATTGTTATTATGAGAGATATACTACCTACTATGATTAAACCAGATCAATGGGAAAGAGTTGCCAATCTCCACGCCATGAAATTCATTAGTGGAAAGGGATGTTGAGTTATYGATCTGTACTAGTAGTCACATGATGAAATTCAATTCCTATTACTATTTTTTCCCACTCTCACCAYTGGAGTACTGGTACAGAACAAGAAGTTAATTGAGTAAAATCTTTGGAAAGAGTCTCATCAACCCACTATTATTTTATTTTATTCTTAACAAATAGTTTGTCCTCAAGAAGCTTTAGTATATTGTTATTGTATTTGCTGTCCCATTTCAGATTCTACAAGTCAATGTTGCTATTTTGTTGCAGTTGATCACCAATTTCTAAC